TCGCCATAAACAACAATTCAACCTGTTGACGAGCAGTATGCTGTATGCGCATGCGCACCGCCAGAGTTACAGATACACATACACATACATATATATAAAGCCGAGGAGGAGGCCTTAGTATCTTCGGTGGCTGTTTGTCTGGCACTGACTTTGGTTTTGGTTTTGGCTTTGGCTTTGGTTGTGGTTCAGTTTGAAACTATTTTAATTTGCTGGCAAATTTGCATAGTCTGCATATTTTACAAATTTGTTCGTCTATTTGTCTGCTTTAATTCCGAATCGGAGGCCATAAACATTTATAATTTTTCTCTTTCTCTGCTTCGGGAGCAGGGCAGGCGCTCCATCAACAAAAGATGAAAGCAAGAGTGACATTTAAAGCGCTCCAGCCCAGGCCTTTATTCGGGGGAACCTTTTGTGTCCACAACCCACATCTGGGGGGTATACTCGTAGTCTGCCTTATGCAACCACCATCCGAGTGTTCGATAATTGAAGAATGGGCATCGATCGGCTCTGTGGTTTCTGTCATATTTCGGAATGCCATTCAGAGGATTGTGTCCAGACAATCGAACCAAACTCTCTTTATGATGTTAAATCATACGATGCCTGGGAACTTGCCAGATGAAACGATTATCGTTGCTCAGATTGGTTTGATGATGGATGTACACATGGAGATGTTAAGCGGAAGGCGAATCGATAATATGATGATTCTTTTGTAAATATAAATAAATAATGTCCCATTGCTCTGCATAAGAGAATGCCTGCGAATTGCAAAAACATCGCTGCTCCGCTCAATTTTCGGTGATAAGGGTGGTTTTTGATGCCCCAAATTCAAAGAGCCAGTTCCCCGTTACCGATACCGACACCGATATCGAAGTCAAAGCAAAGCATTCAACAGTTCAGGGTTACATATGTATGTACGTGTATGGTGAGAATATGTAATTCCCCCCCAATTAGCGTTCGCTCGTTCCGTTCTAGGCCCACAATAAATTGTGTAAAATTACACAACTCTGTTCCGCTCGATCATCTGTAAATTGGTTTAGTAATCGCTCCGAAAGCCAAAACGCCAGTAATTAAGTTAATTGCGGACTATCTATCACTTCCCTGTTCATTATTCATTCACGAATATTAATTGGTTTATAATTTGAAGGGGAAGAGGCGGCATGCAGCTAATTGTAACCGAACAGAAAAAATAAAATCAGAGGACTTTGGGCACTCATCAACACAGCCCATGGCCCGCATTTGATGGATAAATATCTTAAAGATGTTGTAACGCAAATTACAGTCCCCAGACGCATGCCACCGCACAAACATTCCATTCCATTCCACTCTCCACTCCACTCCACTCCACTCCATCAACGCTCCCAAAAATGTGGGAAACGCAAGCGAAGATTGCGATTTGTTGAATGTCGACGCCTCATCGGGTCTCTCCACGTCTCCACCTCTCTCTAGCTTTGTTTAATTAATTAATGAAAAAGGTTATCTGCGCTATAGACCATAGAAATCTGTATAGATATCGTATTTTCTATAAATTTCGTTAAATCATAAATAAAAAGTGCAAATATTAAATAAAATATCCAAGAAAAGCTTCGTCTCTGCCTCATGTTTTTGCTGTTGACATGCACATGACTTTTCTCCTGACATTAGAAAGTAAATTGCCATGAGGCCACTTGGTCAACCGTCAGAGGCATGCACTCCAGCAGCACCACAGCACCACAGCGCCAAAGCGCCACAGCAGCCACCTCAACCACCAGCCACATTTATAAAACTTTATTACGAAAAAAAGAGTTGATACTTTTCTATTGAACCTGATGAAGGGGAGGAGGCGGGTGGTGGATGCGGGATGATGGGGAGCGACTGTAGGTGGAAGATTGTTGTGGGGCAGGGGCAGGCAGGGGCAGGAAGAGCAAACAATTGAAAGTCAGTTAGCCCAAGTGGCTCGGCTTTATTATTATAAATTGGATTTGACTAAAGGAAAGTCTGAGTCCATTGTCTGACCCTGAGACAGCTTTTCCTATTCCCATTCCCATTCCCATTCCTATTATTCGCAATATTTCCAATCGGAAATGCAATTCTCTCTGTCCCGTGGAAAGACTTTCGAGGCGAAGCGAATGGTCCGCACTGAGCGGTTTGAGCCGTTTTCAAGCAATCTAATCTTATCAGAACGAGTTAATCAATTTCTTTTTATGTTTTTCACCGAACAAAGTACAGACACAGATACTCAGTCGTGTGCTGGTATACGTGTAGAATCCTCTCTCTCTCTCTTGGAGGCACTCTTGGGTCGAGTGTTGGATCACCAATTAAGCGACTGGAAATTGACGCACTGGTCGTCCGATGATTCATCGCCAGATAACAAAATTTGATTTTATTTTTTCATTTTTACTGGTATTGCAAAAACATGCGGAGCCCCAGCAAAAGGCTGACCCAGAATAAAATAAAACAGACTCTCGTTGAGGCAACACAATTTCATTCAATCTCAACTCGGTGATCACTGTTTTTCTAGGTCTCTGATTACTTAGGTATCACTTAGAACTGAAGAAAGGTCTAACCTTAGATATTAATAATAATACATACATACAGATACATAAGAACTACAGTCATCAACTTAAGTATTGGCTCAGCAATCACTTCTTTCACCGGCTGCGGTGCTAAGAGCATTTCTACAACGGTTTTTAAATGTCAAATAATTTCATCCGGTAGATTAATGAATTTTATAAAAGATTTTCGAATGGGTAAAACCATTCTTTTATCTGATTTACAGCCAGAATATTTCTTAACACCAGATAAACCCCTAGATATATTTATTAGGTATATCTGAAGTATTTCTGCATTTCTCAATCTCTTCACAAGTCAGGTAGAATTGAGCAACGATCACCGGACCATTTCCCTTCAGTCAAATATTTATTGTCGCGGATTATCTCCTTCCATCTAGTCTCATATGAATAACCAGATCTGAGGTGATCTATCTCACGAGGGTCTCGAGCCTGTCGCCATATAAGATCTGCGGCTTTAGCCCGTTCACAATCGTTCACACATGTCGGCGCTTGGGTCTAATCCGATTCGCTCGCTCTCGGACTTGGATGCTCTCTGGATAAGAATTCAAATTGTAACGCTCGAAAGTCAATCAGTAGCACATGTGTCCAGGCCCTCGAGCCTTGAGTGGGTACCCGAAAAGGGGAAAGAGCGTCTCGCCTGTCCCATAAATCAAGCATTAATAAAACTCAAATTGTGCGAATTTCGACAGCCTGCCATACATTTGAAATTCTTTGCTAAATGTCAATTAATTATTAAGTGGAACCGCCTGGCTGGCTGCCTTTCTGCCTGCTTTCGAGCATTCAAATTTATTATTTAATTATAAGTCGCGGCATGTTCCATGCCCATCTGCCAAAAGTCTCCTCCATGGTGGAATTTTCGGCTGAACCTGCCTGGCCTGGCCTGGCCCGGCCCGTCCCTAGAGTTGGCTCTTCCGAAGCCTGCGCTTGCCTCATTTCCTGCGAAAGTGATGGACAAGCCAGCCGGAGACAATAAAACATCACAATGATATCATGCTGTGCCTTTGAGCTCATCTCTTACTTTGCGCGATGTTTTTTTTTTTTTTGGTTCCGAAAACTGTGTTCTGGTTGTCTGACCCGCAGACCAAGCATCAGACTCCATTCAACCTGCTTTTAAGGTTCAAAAGTTTAATGCGGAACCAACACAATGGGCCCAAAGGGGCCAAGATCAGTCGGTAATTCACGGGACTGCTGAATGAATCACAGCACTATGTGCCCCTCCGATTGTGTAACTCTACTTCTCCCACAGGATGGATGTGGGACTGTATTTTGGGGATCTTCGGGGGAATTATAAAATATCTGTGGATATTTTCTAGAGTGGGAAATGTGTTTTTTCCTGTCCCATGAATTTTATTCCACAAACTCTAAGCAAATCAGATTGAGATCCAATAACTGGCAATATTTTACTCCACTTTTGATGTATTTATTGTCGGCTTCCAATTGTTGTCTGGGTACCTGCTGGAACTGTTGTCCACGAGTCACGCTTAATAAACCACAAAATGGAATTGCTGGGCCGTGATACAATACGAGCATGTTGCCACGAACCGGCCAGTTCGTCGGCGGGGAGTGGCGCGGGACTGGTCTTTGTCGCGGGGCAGTTTGTAATCAAAAGCCGGCCGGTCAGCAAATCAAACTGAAACCCAGCCTGAAAGCACCTTGGCCCGGGGCTGAGTCAACTATTTTCAAAGTTGTTGTTGCTATTGTTAAATTGCATTTAATTGTTTAACAAAATGCCAAAGCGCGTTATGGATATGCCTACGAACGTACGTATGTATGTATGTACATATGTATGTCTGTCTCTGTATCTGTATCTGTATCTGTATCGGAGTGTTCAGAAATAGAGATATAAGTTATAATACAATTGCTCGGGCGGGTCGGTTGGCTTGGTGGGTTGTTCATTGACAATTTTCCGTTGAAATGCTGTTGGTCAGCGTCACCTGCCAGCGTCTCTGTCCCGTCGTGTCCCGATCTGATCTGTCCTGTCCGTCTGCACAACAAGTTTATGATTGCTGAACCCGTTCCAGGTTTTGTTACGAGCATTTCAGCTACGGTTTCTGTTGTGTTTTTTATCCGCTCTTTTGCTCTTTTGCAGCGCCCGCTGCCGGGGCTTGGCCAGAGAGTGCGGAAGTTTCAGGCCGGGCCAGGAAAAAATAGATCACTCGTACGGTACGGTACGACGGCAGCGGTGGGGTGGGGAGGGGGTTTCGAAATTTTTGCATATTTTAAAATGCAATTGGAAAGGTGAACAATTTGTGTGTGTTGCTTGGCTCTCTGCGCTCTGCTTAATTGCGATTGACTCGTTTATGGTTTCGCAAATGATTTCCCGCCAACTGTAAACTGTAACCGAATCCCCGGATTATAGCCATATTTATGGCGTATTATTATTCATTTACAAATTTACAAATTTACAAATGCTGTAATCAAAATCCCACTTCATTTTCGTCTACTCCACAGCCTTTGACAACAACAATCATCACCACCATCATCAGCACCACACGCCGCTCGTCGTCTCGCATCGAAAGGTGAGTGATATTGCCATGGTCTGGTACTGGACCGCTCTTTCTTCCTCCTATGCCCTGGACATGTGCTCGTATTTATTTGTTTATTTTTTCTGTTTTACCGCCGCCCCGTCCGTTAACAGTTTTGAAATCTTTCACGTGTCTCTGCGGACGGTAACAGTCAACGGGGATGGGGACTTTTAAGTGCCCACAGATTAAAGATTACAGATTAGAATTATGACTCGTAAAGCTCGCTCAAATGAGTTCATTCCGAGCGAACGGATTGTCTATGTGCCTATGGTCATGTTTGGTCTTGCTGCGGTTCCGGTTCGAGTTTTAATTAAGTTCTAATGATTTATGATAATAGAAAGGGGAATTTCGGTCTCGTGAAATGGGATTTCGAATAAAAGAACGCAGGGCAGATCAAAGCGGAAAAGAACGGCTAAGTGTCCGTCATTAGGCATTCCCATCAGGTGGATCTTCTGGTACGTAAAATCAAAGACCAAACTTCAGTTCCCATATAGTTCTATGGCTTTAACCATTTTATATTATACTCAGGCGTTGATTTGTTGTCAAAAAATCTCCCATAAGCGAACGGCCCCGTTCCTTTCGAACAACCCATTTAAATGGTTGATTTTTAGATGAATTGAAAAGCCAGTAATATCCAATGTAGAATAGTCCAATACTATAGGACCAACAAACCAGGATTGAAAGAAATATTCTACCAAAAATCGAAAGAAAAATACTGAAACTTTCGCGTGATTTAATATGTGCAGTTGATCCATAATCATGCCAGAATGAGACGGCTCGGCTAATCAGAACTCACCCAGAAGGCATCTAGATATTGGTTACGAGAAGAATCGTTCAGATCTTCAATTTGCAGTCGATTCTCGTATTTAAATATCTAACAGTAGGAAGGCGGAATAAGAGACGTTGCAAATGTAGTTTTCTTTCTCTTGGTAATGTTTTCTTTTACATCTTTGGCTCCCATTGGGAGAATGGAGTTTTCCAATTTCCATTTTCCATTTCGAGCTCCAAAGAAAGTAGCGGTCCGGCATCCGATCGTCAGAATATCGGACATAATGTTAGTTTTATTCATGTGTTTCATGTGTTTGTGTATGTGGGGAACCCAGAGAGATCCCTATGATTGGTTTTCTTTATTCATACGCTGGCGTACTCCACTCGGGTTTTCAATCATCCCAAGGAATCCCCTCCTTGGTCGGGGCTCGCATCAAATTTAACAGGCCATAAAGCAGAATGAGGTACAACCACCACAACATCTACGACTGACTACGACGAAGAGACCCCTAGCCTAGCTTAATGTGTGAAAGTGTTGGCGGCCCAAGAGCCGCACAACGGCTTTATGGCGATTTTAGCAGATGTTCAACATGCCCAGAAAACTCTTCAGTTCTCCCCCGCCGCTGCTGCCGCCACCACCGCCGCCACTAACCGGAGATGCGAAAGTGTTTTCAGAAAAGCCCACGAAGAATGCACTCGAGGGTTTTCTGTTTTCTGTTTTGTGTTTTGTGTTGGGTTCCCAAGCTCAGGCCAAAGCAAAACAGCGGAGGAAATGCGCAGGCGCTCCGCTTCGGAGGAGAGTTCACATGATGATCGTTAGTAGCGCTGTTGTTGCCGGGTTTGGGGGCAGGCTTGAATCGGTGGTAAGGTAATTAAAACAACGAGCATCTGCAGCAGCAGCAACAACAGCAGCAGCAGCAGCAGCAACAGCAACAGCACTACCAACTGCATTTTGGGCCCAGAAGATCGTAACATGGAAGCGCGAAGTTTCTCTACGCCTGAACATTTGATGATTTTTAATGTATCTTTTAGTTGGACGGGATGGGGATGCACCACAACAGATGGGGATGTGCATGTGGATGAGGTGGCGGCGGCAGTGGCAGTGGCTGTTCCCCTTGCCAGATGCCGTTTTCAATTAAGTGTTGCCGCGATTGTTTCCATGTAATGGGTGTGTGTGTGAGAAATATGCATGTTTTGCTGCCACTCAATGGAGGTCGCTCGTTCCTTATGTACGTTCTCTCTGCCTGCTCCCCCCTGCTTGGTGTGGCTGCCCCCCCTACGAGTATGAGGCACTTCCATTGTGTTCGCTCCATGTGAACTTCCCCAATGCATTCTGAATGTCGATGTCGACCTGGGGGTAACCTTAAAATTCTTTTAATTTACGTACAAGACACCACTCATCAAATTCGGGGCCGGGTCGGGGTCTCGACAGAAATATAGATTTTCTATGTGAATTCCGACCCGGAAGGAATTGCTAAAGACAGCCAATTATCTGCATTACAGATGAAGTTCCTTTCTGCACTTGGAAGATCTAAAATTTGAGTTACAGGCACCTTTGTCATAGCTGCACAACCCATGTACCTACATATGTATATCCCCTGTATAGTGCAGCTTAACTTTTCCTATCCTCAAGAGATACGACCGTGCCGACTACGGGTCTTCAGCGATTTCGCCAATACACCAACAGAATGCCCATTACAGATGATCACCAATTAGTGCAGTCAACGCCATCGCCATCGCCATTCCCCATTCCCCATCCCCCATCCACAAATGTGATCATCTGAGTGAAGAGGTCCATCAGCACTCGCCCATCATCGGCTGAAACAAGCTCCAATTGGACATTATTATACAACAATCGCAAATTATCAGGGGGGCAGCAGATTTTGGGCTGTAAGGTCAGTCCTCCCCCTCAAAAAATATGTATATGTATGTATATATGGGCGTTGAGAGTGCGAGACTGCAGTGCGCAAAAATATTCATTTGTTTAAAGTCGCACCGCAGGAGGGGGGCAGACGGGCGAACAACAATTGAAATTGAGTGGAAAAAACAATTGCCAGCGGTAGTGGTACGTGGCAGGGGCATGGGGAGAGGCAGAGGCAGAGACAGAGACAGAGTCACAGACACAGACAAAGTTGCGGCCAAAGGCAGGCAAAGACTTAAGAGTTAAGAGTGACAGCGCGTGCAGTGACATTTTCCGCTCGAACTGCACTTTAAACATGTTTGACCTTTGTTTTCAGTCCCCAGCTCTAGCCATAGATATATTTATATAGTTTTCCCATGCCAGAGAGACACAGAGAGGGAGGGAACGAGATAGAGACAGAGACAGAGACAGAGATAGTACTTTGGAAGAGATGCCTTAAGTAACTATCTATGGGGTTATGCAATTGCCCAAAGGACCGACTAAAGCGATGCGGAACTTATGGCACCTATCATATGACAAAGCGTGATACAACGGCCATACAGACATCATCGCTGGCTGTTATTATGCAAAAGTACAAAAATTGATGATCATACGAGGACGGGAAATTGGTATTGGCTAGAGACGGAGACAGAGATAGAGATAGAGGTAGAAAAGAGATGTGTTTATAGATACAAATTACAGCTGGCAGCCCACTAACCGCAGAAGACTTCATCAAGAGCTCAGTGCCACCAGGCGGCACTGCCTCCTGGTTTTCCGGGCTCGTGGCTCGTGGAGCTTGGCTCGTGATCCACGAGGCAGTTGACTGACTGACTGACTGGCTAACTGACTGAATGACAGCCAAATGGATCTGGGGGCAGCTGGGGGGGCAGCTGCGACTAGGAAGTGTGTGGCAAATTTCTGCGGTTAAGTCAACCTACTAAGGTCGCCAGAAATTTGTAATCCATATCGCGGATTGGTGGGGGGGAGGGCGGCGGGGATGGTGAGTCAATTTGTGATGCGCTTCACCACACTCCACTGCGTATAGGGAAAATACACACACACACACAGACACACACAGAGAGAGAAAAACCTTCAAAAGTTCCCCCCACTCCCCATCTCCACCGTCATGGATAAGGGCTTGGCTGGCGCGGCTCCATTTGTTGCGCGCTTGCATTGCCATAAATACCCGTACGTAGCACTCGTGGGGAGTCGACTTGAACTTAAATTCACAATGCAGGAAAAACCAATAAAGCGCTTGACAGTTCACAGGGGGGAATCGCATGCCGTATATCGAATGGTAGGGGCATTTCTGTAATTGGTTTATGGTTTTCCAATATAGATTCGGGTGCGGCTCCTACGCCCCGCCCCGCCCCGCGCCACCCTTCCCTTCCCCACAGATCCGACAGAAGTTGGGGCAAGTCTGAGGTCCGCCAAATAGGATTACTTCTCCCACACGATACTCACTGTGTTTGACAGCTTTGCTCTTAGGCTCTTTAATTTCCTTTAATTGGGTTAAGGGGCGAATTGCCAAAGAGTTGAGGGCAGGGCAGGGCAGGGCAGGGCATAATTCATTTAATTTCGATTGGGTTTGGCACAAACTTCCAATGAGATTCCTACCACCCAAGGGCGCTCAGAGTATTTTTTTGCGGAACGTGAAGCTTTCCTGCCCTGCCTCAAGTAGAGGTTAATAAATGTAACTAAATTATGTATATAATTGATTCCATTTAATTGTGAAACTCAGTACCTCTGCAGGCAGTATCGTCCGACCTTACATATCGCTTGTTGTTTAAAGTTTAAACAAACAAAAAATATGTATAAGAAGCCACAATTTTCATACGAAACCCCGTTTGGCTGTCAGGGCTGCGAGTCTCGTGTAAAGAGTTTCCATATCTCCGAAGTAGATAAGTACGGAATGAAGAAGCCGTGGCCTAAATTGTCATAGATATCGGATGGCACTCGCACTCTGCAGCGCTCCGCAGCACTCAGCACCAACCAACACCGGGCAGGAAAGTGTAGGCTGGGTAATGCTCAGCAAACTTTAAATTTAATTTAAATTGAGCGTAGAATGAGGCAACCATCTGGTCATTGATACGCCAAATATACGAAATGTACCCTCAGTTAAGTCACAGCACACAGCATTGGGTGGCACTCAGGCAATGCAAACCTCGGCGCAGATCAAGGTTCTGCCTGTCTGTCTGTCTGTCTGCCAGAGCAAATACTCAAGCGAGTCCCGAAAGTGTGCACAATTATTTACTGTAAATATTTTGCCTGAAATGAAACACTTTGGGACCTGACTCAAGTTCGGGTGCCCCAATATCGCATTCTG